TGTTGTCCAATACTAAATTTAGGACCCTATGAAGCAGTAAACAAGTGTTATGAGCCCTTTGCCAAAAAGCTTCAATGTCTGTCCTTCAGGAAATATCCGACTTTGTCACATACTAATATTGAATGCTATTCCCACTGCACTGTGGGTCAATTTCATTCTTGAGAGGCAGTGCCCAGGCTGGGGGGAAGGATGAAGAATATCCCTCTGCTGGCTCAATTTTCTTACACAGGTCAGATGATATAGAGCAGGTGAGGTGAACTGAGAAGCATGAAAAATTAATCCAGCAAGTGATTTTTCAGATTATTATGTAGCTCCAAAATTTTCTAGATTATCTTGCATCAAAATCTATCTGTGCAGAAGGCCTTAAAGATAAATTCCAAAGCTGCAAGTGATAGTTTGAAGAAATATTTCTCCATTTCAAAACATTTTAAAATGTTATACCTGAGTAATATAAACCATACCATACATAGTTATATGTCAGATGGAAAGGATACACCATTACAGGAAATGAAACATAAAGTAATATCTATGAAAATTTGTAAAATATGTTAGGTGAGATTTGAACCATCTGAGAGCCTGAATTTCACCCTTTTGATTTAGAGAGAAGTAGATTTCAGCTAGTTCATCTGTCTTGTTTTAGAGATCTGAATGTTGCTGCTGTAGCTTCAAACTGCTAGAAGATACTAGGCATAACTAAATTATTCATGGCAAATATTATAGAACATGCAAATGCATTCCTTTTCTTGGCTTAGGGGTTTTTTTTTCCATTTTCAAACACATCTCTAATCAATTTGTAAGTGTACTCAATATTCATCCATACTACGCAAACAAAGGGCACTGCAAATGTCTCTTTGTGGAATATGCTATGTCTACAAAAGCACATGAGATTGTTTCCAGGCCCAGATTTCAAGCCCTGGACCACATGCCAAAGATAAAATTACTTGAATGACAATACTGGGAAAAGTTTCTTCATCACCAAGAAGCCTTTGGTCAATGGAATGATGACTTTTTTTTCCAAGACAGTGTTTTGATTGAACATGTTGTGAATATCTAGCGACTATTCAGATGCTGGAAATATATTTAAATTAGAGTAAATTCACTAATTTGCAAAAAAAAATTGTGAATGAAAAATCTATGTTAGGTAAACAATGAATCCAGAACCATCAGAAAACCTGAGGCCATAGGAATTCTGAAATTTAAAAGAAAAAAAGAAAAAGAGTTTTACACTTTACAGCCTTATACTGCCATTCTTTGCATATCATGGCCTGAAACTATGAAAACTATATAGTTTATATAGTACTATCTATAAAACTATAGATTTGACAGTGCTTTGCCATCAACATCCTCTTATTGTGAAGGACCAGTGGTTAGAGAATCTTCCAACTGCCAATTCTCATTACATTGTTTCAATGTCATCGTGCCTGACAGTTTTCACAAAGCCCAAGCTTCAGGAGACTGAAAAATCTCCTGAGAACCTCAGCTTTGATTCCAAGGAAAGAAAGAATGTTGTAGTCTTCATGATTGCAGAAATAAGAGAAAAAAAATTACTGTGCTCCCAATATGCTGAAGGCTCATTAACCCAGAGGCAAAATTAAACATTTCTCAGAACCCACTATGTTTGATTTTTTTTTCCCTAAGCAGGAAGGAGAGAAAGTCAGAGAGGGGACTGACATTTTTAAAATGTAGTAAAAGCAATACTGGAATTCAGGTAATTATTCAATTGAAAAAAGAGAGAAAAATAGGCTTGCTCTTGTCATAAGTCACAGAATTTTGAAATAGGTGTACGGTAGAGAGCAAAGCTTTTTTCAAAAATCATCGTATCACAAGGACAATAGCAAATTAATCTGCCAGACAGTGTAAAAATAATGGATAAATGTTGTCTGGAATTGCCTTTCTCCAAATTAACAAAATAGCTCATTTTATTCACGATTCGGCTCCCTTGCCTGTTGAATTGAAAATGCACAAAGCTGGCACATCAGATGAGCTCACGAAAGACGGCTCTGCCAAGGCTGCCATAGGTTGCTTTGCATAGTCATCCTACTGTATATTAACGAATAAGCATGAGCTGCAGTTTTTATTTCTTCACACCCCTTTTAGTATCAGCCCTGTGGAAATCTTGCAGTGAACACTGTGTTACGCGCCTATTGTATTTTATATGATGCTTGGATTAGTGCACAGTTGCTTATTAATAAAACTATGCTGTGCGGCAGCTGTATGTGGCAGCCATATATGATTACAATACACAATAGGAACTGCTCATTTCTACACTGTTTCTGGGGAAGTAAAGAGTTACTAGGGGAAGTGGTGTTTTATCACACACTCAGCATTGCACAAAAATAGCCTAGAAGACCAAAATGCTTGCATTAAAGTCTCCATGTTTCTGTAATTAATACCACACTGATCTATTTTGGATATTGTTAGCATATGCTTTCTGTCTCATATATGCATAGTTAATGTTATCTGGAGAGGTGCACCGAAAAGAGAAAATCTTTTCTTAAATATTGAGAAAGGAAGAATTTGTCTCAGTGCTTGAGGGCAGAGCCGCTCACGGCACAGCCCTGATGAAACTGCCTCTCTTCTGGGGGCGGGGAGGCAGCACACCAGACACCGTAAAGCCTTGGTCTCGTAGGGCTGGGATAATGTGACTGCACAGCATGTGAAATCGAAAACCATATGTGCCTTTCTGTTTCTGATGACCCTTTTTCATGGCCAGGTTTTGGGCTGTATTTTTTTTCCCTGTCAATTTGTTGATGGTGAAAGTTTCTAGAGTGACAGTCAAAGAGATTTGTCTCCTTTATCAGCCACAGCCACCAGCCGGTTCAGATGCAGCCGTGTGTATTGCTATCGATCCATTTGAGCCTTCACATTTCGTGCCATCAATTGCATTGCTGTAAAGTAGGTGTCAGACGTGGCCACTTCAATACTGCCTATGCAAAGCATGGCAAATATCTGCCATATTTTCTCTGAATATGCACAAAGAGCCAAACAAAGAGCAAAGCAGGGGATGATAGGCTCCAGCAACTCCTGAATTTGACATGGAAGGTTTACTTCCCAGTTGATTTTGTGTTTTATTCAGTCCTTGGTCCCAGAAGCAGAGCTCCTAACAGTAGCAGTAGCTTATTGCCATATATCCTGAAAACAGACCTGAACCTCACCAGCTCTTACCCTGCACCTGAAGCCACCAGACACATCGCAGATGGTGGCACCCTTTGGCCAGCACCATCTTCTGATCACTTTGGACTTGCAATTCTGAAATCAGAGGCCTCGTATCTCATTACAGTTTTGCTGAACTACGCTGCCTTACAGCACGCTCTTTCATTGACTTACTCCAAGCTATGTATACCTCACAATTTAACTCTCAGAAATACATTGCTTTGTTTTAGTTTCCAGAGATGAATCCACAGTAAGCAAGCGCTTCGCTTCTGCTCATTTGCACACGTACAGTTCAGACTGTATGCTTGTGAATTTAGTCATGTAGCATCCGGTGCTACCTGATTAAGATCAGTAGCTGGAAGCTGATTGTTTAATTGACTTTTCAGAAACTCAGCTAAAACTTTCCAATCCCATTATATATAGGAAATAAAATGAAAGCTTGAAACAGTTACAAGCACAAGAAATTGTTCACTTCATTCCTGAACTCATCAGTTTAAATTACACTGGAGGTCCTTACACCACTAGGACTTCCTAAATCTTCCCATGGACTACATGAAAACACCTCAGGCCTGAATCTATCTCATCAAACACTCAGTTCTGCAAGTTTGCCACTGCTGGGGGGTTAGGGACTGTGTTCACAAATACATGAGGCTCCTTCTTTAGCAGCACAGACATTCACCTCCTCTCCAAGCAGGGGAGCCCCACTGCCCTCCCTGGTGTAAACTCAAGGAGTTTGTTGCTGTGATCGGATGCTGTTAAGCAGCAAATCCCAAATCTACATGACCTTTCCCCCTCCCCAAGTCAGCAGCCTCAGCAAAATCCAAGCTTCGCCAGAGGAACCAATTTTGCTTTACTGGAACTGGCTGAAATGAATACAGGCTCAAACTCTGAAGATCCATCTAAGGCACTGCAGAACCATGCTCACCACCCTCCTGCAAGCTATCTGACAGCACCTTTTTTCCAGCATGTTAATTACTCACTTCAAAGTGAGTAATTAAAATCTATGACTACTGAAGTTAACTCCTACTGACCTCCCTGGATCACAAGTTTTACCTGCTGTCATTTGACTAAAAATAACCAAAGTGTTCCAGGCCCAAATGATCTGCCGTAAACCAGCAATGTTGAGTCTTGCTATTTCCATATAGGATTTATTATCATCTTATTAGTTACTATTAAGTTTTGCCCCCAGATGAATATTTTTGAATTAGTAAAGAAACTGTAGATTTTTGGTGTTTGATATAAACTTTTAGGATCAAGTAGCCATTAAGAGATTATAAAACTGTTCAAAAGGTGACTAACATTTTAGTAAAATAATTTTTATTTGCATGGGATACTATCCACTAAAGCAGTTTAGAAAATTAAAGAGTTTAAGTAAAATCTTTGGCTTAAAATAAAAGTTGTATCTTCCTTTAAATACTGTATCAGCAGAACAAGGCTTAATTAATAATTAAACCAAATAAGGATTTATACAAGCAAGGCTGAATCTGTGCAACAGTACAGAACAGTTCTTATTAAAAGAGCTATGCTATGGGCGGGGCAAAGCAATAAACATAGCCAAATTTTTTGCCTTTCTCAATCTCTACATTAAATATTAAAGAAGAAATATTTAAAGTTATATACTCACATGGTAACAATTTATAAGACATGCAATTTTAAAACTGCCTAAAAGCTAGCTTCAAGGAATGCAAATTTATCTAATAGTGAGAGCACATATTGAAAAAAAATGAGAATGCTGATTGAGGTTTCAGTAATCTTCAGAGGTTTTATAGTATCCCATGTTTCAGTATCGGCTTTTATGCTTCATATCCTTTGATACAGTTCTCCAAATAGAGGACATAAATACCATCCAGGTTTTAAAACATTTTATTTGCATATTAAAAAAATTGTGCATTCCAATAATTAAAATCATTTGAACAAAAAAAAAAAATGGCACTCGATTAACTGCATTTTACAGCTCGCAGGACCTTGGTACAGCTTTGCATTTATTCGTGTGTTACTCTAGTTTACTGTAGTCCCACCCAAGTTCTTCTTTCATCAACATGCAAGCTCTTTCATGCCACCAGGACCAAAGCCAGACAGGCAGAGGGAAAGGCAGCGCCTTCATTCAGTGTCAGTAGTTCTCTCTATTCTTTTGATGTGAAAGGGGCAGTACAGTCATTTTAAACTTTATCCAACCTCTTTGCATCTTACAAAGTTAAACAGCTAAAAGAAGTAAAATAAGAAGGCAATGCTTGTGGAATGTACAGTGCATAATTTGGAAGGGCAGATTTCATTACGATTCACCCGCTTGCTTCTCCTGTTCAATTGCTAAAAAGGGGGAAAAAAAAAAGAGTGAAAAAGAAATAAAGATCGAGAACCTGACATGCATTCACATGACAATTCCCAAAATTTGTAAAAATATACGTAGCGAAATACATGTATATATCAAAACAGAAATGTAAATAATTGCAAATTAAGCGTTACTACGCGCTGGGTTCAGGTTTGCTCTGCCGGGCACAGCCCCAGCCGCGTATCCTCCCTCCACCCAGCACCCCCGGCT